CAACGCATCTTTAGTCGAAGTTACGACATGAGGGTGCACCTTTTGCGAATACACGAGCGCACTTTATGGAATGTCAATACAAAGATTAGCACACAGAGCAATAAAAAGAAATGAATGGAGGTAACCATCGTGAATACGCTGCTTTTCATGTGGCAGGATAAATTGCTTGACGACAACTATGTGAAAGCTTTACTACTGTTTTCTTTTGTAAATATAAGAATTGCGAAAAACTTTGTGCCATATTTAAAGAACGAAAAAAGAAAAAATGAAAAAACAAACTATAATTTTGAAAGTTGTGGTTCATTTGTACAAGCTCCGCGTGTACTTACTGATAATTTAAACCAGTATCTTCATTCTTAATAAAAGATGCTAGTGCTTATGTGACTTATTAGATTCGAAAAATTTATCAACGATTGGTAAATGTAATTGTACGATTAGAGGATTCTTTCGTCGCTGTCTAATCCATGCATAAATAGTTCCTAGACATTAAGAAATTATTACATAATGTACAGTACATTAAGTTTATATTCTTAAAGACGGCGGTATTACTTTCGTGCGCGAATTATGTAGCTGAAAGCGAGTCACGAATCGCAATACATTGAAAGTATATTACAAAAAATTGTACATACATTTGTATTTTGATTGAATTGTTATAAGAAGTAGATGCATTAAAACATTCGAATCCGAAAGTTTAAAATATATTACGAGGTTAAAGCTATATATATATATATATATATATATATATATATATATATAGAGAGAGAGAGAGAGAGAGAGAGAGAGAGAGAGAGGCATTAAATGAAAATATTTGTCACATAACACAACATTTTTCACGAGCTTAATACATTGAAATGGTTTAGAGATTTATTAAAAAATCTACAATTTATGAAATCGTAAATTTTAGGAGAATATAATTCAACATTTAACCAATTGGTTTTGCTCGAGCTCTGAAAATATGTATTTTCAGTAAGTACTTAAAAAAAAGAAAAATAAGAAAAAAGATGAAAACAAATGAAGAAAAAAAAATCTGATAAAGCGCTTTATAAATTATCTACAAATTGTTTATTATAATACTGCCAGATAAGTATATCACCGTGATAAGTACACACGATTATTGTGATAATGGCGACTTATGTGGGTGTGGCCGCGTATGTATGTGTTGCGTGTGCGTGCGCTTGAAATTACTACATACATAGGGCGTCTAATTGTTCTGAGATTAAAAATATATTTTTACTTTCGATACCATAATTTTAATTTGTACAGCATCAACATTTACGAATATAGTTGATAATTTTGTAATAAAATATTTATATAAACTAATATTAACTTGTAAGTTACTGACATACCAAAATTTGTTCTATGTTCATAATAAGTTAATAAGGTTGTTCTAACACGTTTTGCCGTTACGGGCTGAAACAAGATGAAAAATTCGCAGATAAAACCAGACCGGACGCACCACGTTATCACTTTATAAGTTTACAGTTTCAATAAGGAATGGACGTATAGAGATATGGGAGATAGGGAGGGGGAGAGAGGGGAATAAACGTTCGCCAGCACCTTTTCTATTCAGCCAATACATATTAAATCTGCAATTGACTGTCGAGTTGACATTACAATTAACAAGCTTCTTAATTTAGCGGATGAATAATTATCTTCTTAATTTGGTGAAAGGTTATCTGTTAAACCATGCTTTGTGGGTAACGCTGGCAAGAGATCGAGTCTAACAATAATAGAATATACGTATATAATGCCACATGCACGTCAAAAAAAAAAAAAAAAAAAAAAAAAAAAAAAAAAAAAATTATCGAGCGGCTTTTGGGATATTACTGCGTGTGCACATGTTGTGATACGTAGAGCCTTAGCGTACACCACTTACCAATTAACAAACACGCATTGGTATTCCGGGAGCGCTATCGTTAACGGATCAATAGACGATAGCACGGTTAAAGATTGCTAGCTACTACCCTTAAGCTAGAGGTGACATGAAGGGGAGGTGTTGCTAATTAGAGGTAAACAAAACAAAAAGCAAGCCAAATTAAATGAAGCATTGTGTGTGAATGGGAAACACTTTGGATTGTGTGCACAGAACCAGCGCACGAATCATCGTCATCGTTTGGTCGGGATCAACACCTCGAGAGCAGTATGAGCGGCGGCGCAATCGGCAACGGAAACGGCAACTTTGAGGTCAGGCGGCGCACGCGGCCACTCCACGATGAGAATGGCCGGTGGGTTTGTGACGTTTGCGGTAAAATCTACAATCGGGGGGACTCCCTTGCCCACCATCGCAGTATACACAGAGGCGACACCGTATGTCCGGTTTGTCAGGCTGTCTTCACGCGCAAGTACACCATGAGGTGTCATTTGGTAAACGTCCACGGAGTCAAAGTCAAGGCGTAATCAATCAGACGGTGGCCCATCCAGCCGATAGAGGACGTTTCGTTTATAGCTTTTACTTTTCACTTAAAACATGTACAGGAGGCGGTGCTTGCGCCACATTTCCTTTCGCGTCCAATCTAACAACAATAACCCCCCCCCCCACCACCACCACCACCACCACCACCACCACCACCACCCAAACACACACCAAGTGTATTTACAGACGCGGGTCTTCGTCGACCGGGGCAATATGAATTATGTGAAGATTAGTGCTTCGCTATCTATCCGTCTATGCGCATAAATTATACAGTACAATATTATGCCATGCAAAACTATATTATATATAATGTTGTTAAACAGTCGATCTTACTTTCCTTTAACAAGGAATGCCCAAATTTCTTAGGATTTTAAAGGCTCTTTTACGCAACGAGCTATGCGTATTACTAATCCCCACCCCACCCCACCCCTCCGACACACAGCATCGATATTTCCTATTTATCCAAATGTTCATCCCCTTAAATTTTTTTAAAACCCACTTGAGTTTTTTATAACATTCTCTTGACTGCAGCTTTTATTGAAATTATCATACGTGACCGAAGCTTTAAAGTATTACTTTCAGATAAAAAAATATATGTGTGACTATCTACATATATAAGATTAGCGCTGTTATTGTTGTAATGATAAATTTTTTTATCCATCTTAGTGTCGGTTAAAGAAAGTTTATGAGTTTCTTTATGGCCATCGAAATGAGAATATTCTTATTATTTGCTCGAAGGTGCATATTCCAATATAATTGCGGCAATTGTGAAAAGTATGCTTTTTATCAATGGAAAAGAGAGTAAGGCTAGTGTTATAATTGTATTTACAATCATTATTCCGGTGAATAAATGTTTCGATTCCTTGTGACTGATATTTGTAAAGTAGCTGTATTTTTCCTCTACCTATGTTGCGTTAAACAAATGCGTACTCGATAACGAAACAAATAATACGTCATTTTAATTTATTTATTTTTTTTTTTATTTTTTTTTTTTTTTATTTTTTTATTTTTTTTTATTATTATTATTATTATTATTGACTTTTTTTCTTATGTTTTAGCAGTAGTAGTAGTATTTAGTAAGTAATTAGGAAATTATCGGTTAAAATAAGAAAACAATAATATTTATAATATTATGAAATAACGATAATAATTATATTTTTAAAAGAAGCTGGTGCCGCAGCTTTAAGAAAAGATATATCTGTGAATAAAAGTACATTAAATAGTTTTTGAGAGTAAAAGTAATTTATTGAATCGTTTACATCCAAGAGTGACGATTGACGTTTCACTTCTCTTTACAATGTAATATTGAAATTTTGGTAATTCCAAAGTGGTAAGCCTTTATTCAATAATATAATGACAATGATAATGGAAGGAACATGATTGTCGAACTATGACAGATTACTTATTATAATTAAGTAATTTTATTATACGTACAAATGGCTATTGTTGTTCACTATCTATTGATAATTTGTATTCAATATCGCTTGTTTTGTAACTGCGTTTTTATTTATTAATTTTTTTTAAATAATTTTTATTAAAGTCAGTATTCTCAAACAATTATACTCTTTATATGCATGCATTCAGATATTTCAATATACCCTACATGTTAACGTCATAATTATTTGGTAATTCCATTTTTTAATTTTTAAAGTACAAGTATAAGCATAATTAAGATATTGATATAGTTGGAGCGTGATTGAAGAACATTTTTCCTTAATACGTAGATTTTATTAATTGTCGATAATGAGACAGTGACGATGTAACGAAATCTAATCACTTCCATGCGGGAATTCAACGCTTAGGCAATGAATTTTATTATATTCTTTTATTTCCTGCAGGTTCATGACTTGTTAATGAATCGCCTGAAAATTTTAATCACGCTCGAAACGACTGTTTAAGCATCACATCCACGCAATGATATTAAATGTGCTACTACTAGTACTTTTTTTCTTTTTATTACATTCTTTATTTCACCAAACATTTATTTACGTTAATTTTAGTTCATTTGATTTCAGTTACTGATATATACATACATATGTGTGTGTGTGTGTGTGTGTGTCCGTATGTGCGTATAAAATATTTGTATTCAGTATTTTTAGTGTGTTTCTCAATATAAACGATGGAAATTATAAATTTAATCTAACTTTACAGTAGAGACTTTTGCATTTTCAACTTTAATAATAAATTTGGAATATGTTAATATTTAAAATTTTCGAAACGAAAGTATAGCATGATTTTTATTTGAGAGAATGAATTTAATCTGGATTTCATTTGGTTAATGTGCATCTCATCAAGTGTTAAATATGATAAATCTTTCTGAGAAAAATTAAAATCCTTGCATACTTAGAACTGTGAAAGAGTGAAAGACGTGAAAGGTCAGAAGTGAGGGAGAGGAGTCGGTAAAAATGATAGCATAGCTAGGAGGAAATAAAGATCAGGATAATGTTGACAAGGTCGAGGGATGAGTCGAGAAATAAACATACTTAATTCATTGTTGATTGTATTATTCAATTGTATAATTCACAAAGCCAGATAGTGCTGGGCACGAGGAGAGACGTCCTGCAGTATAAACATTTATTTGATTTAGATTCTCGTACAGTGGTCATCGAACATCCGTCGCATTCTTGCAAACTTTGTGGTAAATCGTTTTGGAACCGAGATTCCATGTATAAGCACATGAATATGCATAAAGGAACGACCCAGTGCCCCGTGTGCCACAAAGTCCTGAGCCGCACGACGCACATGAAGCGTCACTTGAAAAATCGCCACGGTTGGCTGGGCATAGGATCGACAACAGATGCGGCGACAGCCACGGCGACATCCATACGCACCTCGTCCGGGGCGAACCTGTCCACGAGCGCCTCGCAGAGCAGCTCGGCGGCAGCGGCGGCAGCGGCGGCGGCAGCGGCAGCAAACCTCGATTCCAATGCCACGACATTCACTACTATACGCATTAGAGAGAGCAGCGTCGAGAGAATCACTTCTAGTCCTATTCCTTAGTGTATTCGTGGCAATGTAATGACGAAGAGGACGACGGGAATCGAGGAGAACAATGACGAGTACATCGACGAAGACGAAGACTACATTGACGGCAATGACTGTGACGATGATGATGACGGCGACGATGACAATAATAATGACGCTGACGATGACGATGACGACGATAACGATAACGATGACGATGACGAGATTGGCGATGGCCCGCGGAGTCGGACGGTGGACACGATGCCTGTCTTTACAGTTTCGCGCCCTAGTCATTTATATATAATATATATTTGTTTGCGCGTATTGTATATGTTTACCTGTGCATTTCAAATAATGCGCAATATACATGCGTGCGTGCGTGCGAGCGTGCTTGAAATGTAAATGTGTGTGTGTGGTGATATACGTTGATACGCACCCTCGCGATGCGTGTATATAATATATAGTGTACGTGCGGATGTCGGTATGTACGTGTGCGTTTGCGTGTGCGTGTGCGTGTGTGTATTTCAACTTGTGCTGAGAACGCGCACTCGTGTTTACCTTTTGTTGCTTTAATTTTATTTATCATCATTCTGATTTTTCTTTCTTTTTGCCAAATACATATACATGCATACATACACACACACACACACATATATATATATACACATATACATACATATATCACTTTCCAGTACACATACACCCGCTTGGGCGCGCATACATATAAATACATTTCTCTTTCTCTACCCCCCACTCCCTCCCCCGCTCTCTCCCTCACTCTCTCTCTCTCTCTCTCTCTCTCTCTCTCTCTCTCACACACACACACACACACGACGCATATACGCATACACAGATAAACATTTTTCCACAAGATTGTTCCATAAGTTTAACTTGCGATTTATATTTCAAAGTAATTTTAATGGAAAAAAAGAAGAAAAAAAGGAATTTCACTTGTTTTTCGATAAGCTTCAGCCAAATTCTAATCCTCTACCCTTTTCATGAACGTGATCCTTTGTCCTTAGTAGTAATCTCATTTTTACCAGTGTCCAGAAATATGAAAATTAGAATTACACGCCATATAAATCTATTTTATAACCAAAGAATCGAATAGGCAAAGGAAAACAAATAATTTAATCTAGTCAAATGATTTTTTTCAGTACTTAAATAGGATATATTAAGGAGGAATGTGCATTTTCCTAATGACCGAGTAATTCATTTTAAGGAGTTTGTTATTATGTTTAAACATATACGCTGCTTCTAATTATTTCTTTTAATTAGTAGTTGTCATTAATTTTACTTAATACAAAGGCTTTGTTTTCTTTTCTACCACTTTCTTTGTAAGACGACTTAATGTAATATTACAAGAGAGCTCTTTTTTTTTGTAAAATAATTGTCTTTAGTTATCTACGATCTATGAAACATTTGTTTGAATTTTTATCACAAAGTTAGTGGAAGCTATTAAGCCTTTTATGTGTAAATATTAATAATAATGCCATACTAGTCTTGCAAGTAAATTGAGGTTATTGTATGCAGTAAATAATATTTTCGAGTGATCTCTAGCTTGAGTGTCTTTGAAAAAAAGAAGCGAAGAGTGTCAGAAATTAAAATTAATATACGAGCGAGAGAAGCGAAAGACAAATTGCATTTCAAAACTCATATTTTTATTGGAGTAGTATAAATCGATTATAATATATTATTATATATATATATTCAATTTCTTTTCAGTTCAACGTCATTTTCTTTTCTTTCTTTTTTTTTTTTTTTTTTTTTTTTTTTTTTTTATGAAAGGAAATTTAGTTGCACATATACTTACAGTGATTAGAAAAATTGCACGAAAGAAATTTGAAATAAAAAATTATTTATGCAATATCTAATCTGAAAATGTTAGCACAATATAATTCTGTTATATATATATATATACATACATACACACATACATACATATATATATATATATTTAATTTTATTTATAAAGATGGAAGTATAAGTAATTCTTAAATAACTAAACATTGATGTATTATATCAGAAGATAAAGTGAAGCATTATATCTTCTGAATTTCTTTACTAATTTGTAATTATGTAATCATATAAAAGTAGAGACAATTTTACAGGATTAATTACCAAAAATCTAATTAAATTTTTCTTGCAAAAATTGTGGTACAATGTTTTATTATAGCGTAATAAATAATAAGTGCAATGTAAATCATCGTTTAGATAATATTGATTTTTTTTTTATTATGTATCATATTGGAATACAAACTAAGTCAGTGTTCATTTCTAGCAGTCATTTATTATTCAGTTTTCTAGTACTTCATTGATAAAGAATTGAGAGTAGTAGGAATTAAAACTTTACTTTTTAAAAAAAGGTACGGTTTGATAGTTTTAGATGTTTCTTACCTATAGAAAAATTTATGAAACAAATGCTTATATTTATATATAATTTATATTATAGAAAATTATTTTTACGTGGCCATTATGCTTTATATCTAACCAAATACAAACTCAAAAGAAAAAAAAAAGAAAAAAAAACATAAAATATATAAATAACGTTTTATTTTGTTAATTAGCTTAACAAACATGAACATGCACATTCCTCATAAGTCATAAATAACATTAAGTACAAGATTGCCAATTATTATTTTGCTAAGTAAACAAAGAAATCGATATAATTTTAATTAAACATACACCCACACGCAAGCGAGCGAATGTGTGTATGTATAATTGATTAAGGAAAAAAAACATTATAAATAAATTAAGTAAATTTATGTTTGGCTTACTAAACTATGTAAGTAAAAGATATGTGTGAATAAAATTTTAAAATATCACTTTATAGCAATATAAATTTTTTCCCCATATAATAATTATTATGTTGTAATTACAAAATATTAAGTTACGTCTAATAACAATTTACATGCAGGAAGGTATAATTGATTCGGAGGGTTAAAAATATATTTTCGAATACCTTTAGTGGCATTTGTTATTAAAAACTTTTTTAACATATATTTGCATATAAAATTATGTTATGGTTAATAAAGTATTACAAACACTAAAATAATTACTAAATTTTTTTTTACCTTTCAATCGAGGTGTGTGCACGTATACAAACATTTATGCGCACATAAATGACTAAAGTTTAATTAAAACACTGTTTACATTAACAAAAAGCAATTCTTTTCAGTTGTCGGTGAAATGTAAATCAAGGAAAACAAATAATGCAGTTATTCTGAAGCGTTGTATTACAAATACAACGACATTCCAAATGTATTAGTAATAATTCGATTAGGCTTATGGTTATGATAATAATACATTAATATAATAAAGCAAGACCAATATGGAAATGTTGCAATTAGTTTATGAGAGATCTGTCACACTTTGAATCAGATTGAAGTCAATTAAGGTATTAAATGAGATTGAGCTTTTGTGTTGGTGCTTGATTTCGTCAATGGTCGAAACAATGACAAAGACAGTCACTATACATAAACGTAGCGAAAGTTTTAATGCGTTATATCAACGAAAATAGATGGTAAAATGTTTATGCTTTTATCGATGACTTTTCATGATCTTCGCCTGAGATACGCATCAAAGCTGCATAATATTTCTTAAAACATTATTTTCATTGGCAACGAGCTTGCATATTTAGTTGGGAGCACGCGCGCGAGCCCTCCCCCACATACGAGAGAGAGAGAGAGAGAGAGAGGAGAGCGGTGGAACGTAATAAATAATAGTCCGTTTAATTCGAGGTGCAAGCATCTATTTTCGTTGATGACATAATGCGTGTGCTGTCGAAGATTTTTCAGGCGTGCATTGCCCAATGAAGTTATTACCGATAAATCCATGAAACGCGAAACCGGGATGTTTAGGGAGAATTATCGAAGCAGCCGAGAGTGGCAGTGTCCGCGTGAAAAATGCGAAGCATAATTGAGTGAGAATAATGGGACGAATGGGCCGAGTTGGGAGGGGGGAGGGGGAGCTCATTGGGGTAGAGAGCGAGCGAGTGAGCGAGTGAGTGTGTATAGCGGTATGATAATGCGTGTGCAATAATCAGTGCTCATTATTTTGGCTAATGTAATAATGTAATGGGGTCAGTGGTGGTGGTGGTTGTGAAGGAGGAGGATGATGAGGGGGGGGGGTGGGGAGGGGGGGGGGGGGGGGGGGGAATATAATGAAAAATAGGAATGTGGAAGAACGCGGTCACGTAGGTATTCAATGTGTTGCAGGGGGGGTGGTGGGACGGAAAAGGAAGCATGTCGGCGACGCAACCGGTGCTCAGGTGGTGATGCAGGGTCCGGGCCGCTTTTCATGCAGCCTCTGCGGCAGCGTTTACAAGCACCTCGCATCGCTCACCCAGCACCTCGAGGTGCACCGCAACCAGACGACCTGCATTTTATGCCACACGAC